CAATTTAAGAAAAACAGTCAAAACCAATTTGAGGAAAAAAAACCCAGAACTAATTTAGAGAAAAAGAAAATCAGAAGCACCTTAAGAGAAAAAAATCAGAAGCTACTTAAGAGGACAAAATCAGAACCAATTTAAGAAAAAAAATCAAGCTATTTAAGAAAACACGAATTAGAAACAATTTAAGGAAAAAATCAGAACCAATTTGAGGAAAAAAAATCGGCAATTTAAAAGCAAAAAAATCAGAAGTTATTTAAGAGAAAAAATCAGAAGTAAGTTAAGAGAAAAAAAAATCAAGCAATGTAAGAAAAAAAGTCAGAATCACTTTAAGGAAAAAAAATCCAGCAATTAAGAAAACAAGAATTAGAAGCAATTTAAGAATTAAAAAAATCGGAAGGAATTTGAGAAAAAAAGAACCAATTTAAGAAAAAAAAACAGAACCAATTTGAGAAAAAGAACCCTCAGAACCAATTGAAGGAAAAAACCCACAGAACTAGTTTAAGAGAAAAAAATTAAGCAATTTAAGAAAACAAGAATTAGAAGGAATTTAAGAAAAAAAAAGATCAAAAGGAATTTGAGAAAAAAAGTCTGGACCAATTTAAGAACCAAACCCAAGCCCTGAGTGCTTATATTTGAGTTTCTTACTCAGTCTAATATTTCTCAAGGGATGTATTTTGGGAAATAGAGCAGATTTGTGACTGAAGGGAAATATTTGGATAGAAGGGAAGGGAACTAAAGGAGGAAATTCCCAGTCCTTGATTTCTGGCAGAGCCTGAGATGTCAAACACAGCCTGGCACAAAAAGAGAATTCCAGGCTCTTTCAGCCCAAATTTTTTGGGTTTATACTTAAATTTCTTCTGTGTCCTCTTAGCTTTGAGGGGCAGGATCCTCCCAAGTATTGGAATACATGAAATTTTGCCAAAATGTCCCATTTCAGTAGAGTTCTGTAATCCTTCTATTAGAAAATCACACACATTCCCACATGGAATTGTGGTGGTAGAAACTGGACTTCCATGTTCCCTGTTTCTCCAGTGTTTTTATTCTTTATTTTGAGACTGTGAAAAGGAATATTTAAATTAAATTTGTGCAGCTGAGAGGGGATAAAGCCTACAATCCCAACACTTTCTTGTGGATCTGTGGCCACACAACCTTTTTATTTCCAATAACCTTCAAAAATCCCTCGGAATTACCTGGGAGAGGCTGGAAATTCCTGCTGGGTGGCAACCTATGATTTTTAAAAAATTGGGTCACTGTTCAATATCTTGGCTTTCCTTCCCACACGTTTCCTCTGGAGGGAAGCTGTTGGCACAGTGATTGCTCAGAAAACTGGGATGTGCCTAAGAAATTCCCAGGGGAAGGGTTTTTTGCAGCCCCTTGGATGTTTTTCCCCCACAGGTTTCTCCAACTCCGAAGCCCAACAACATCCTCCCACCACTCCCGTTGTACGACCAACCTCCCACCAGTCCCTATCCCAGCCCGGATAAAAGAGGCTCCCAGTTCTTCCCGAGGTCTCCATCGACTAATGGTAAGAATTTTGGGGGATGGAAAAACAACCACTTCAGCCAGAGCTTCATTTGGGATGTTCCTGTTTCGGTGGAGGGGGGGAAAAAAGGAGCGTTTTTGCCACGTGAAGTCGCAAAATCAGCCCTTCCAAGGGCTTAGGAGGTTCATGAAGTGAATTCAGCCAGGCTGAGGGGCCTCTTTGTGCTGAGGGGTTGGTTTTATTCCCTCAGAAAACAGCTTCGGATCCGAGTGCCCCGGGTTCTCCCAACCGCCGCGGATTCCCGCCGAAACTTCCTACGGAAAACTGCGACCTGTGAGTGAAACCCCGATCCTGGAGGGGGGTTTATTGGGGTTACGGAGTGGGAATTGGGGTGGGAACATCCAAATCCAGGGGGGTGGGACAGAACCTGGGGATTGGCTCTCTGGGTCCTGCAAATCCAGTGATTCCCTATAAACCAGCAGTGTCCTGGAGGAGCACAAGGCAAGGTCTGTTCCCTCTGTCATGTTCAGAGATGTCCTTGAGGCTCATCCAGGCCTGTCCTTCCTTATCCTGCCCTCCCGTGTCCCACCTCTGTGTCCATGTGAGGCTTGGAATCAGGAATTCTCACTGGGGAGGAAATTCCAGCTGTAATGATATAAAATAAAATATAGGTGTTACTTGATAAACTTGGGGTGTTGGGAGGCGATTTCTGGTCTTGCCACATGTAAAAACCCCTCAGCAGAGCTGGAAAAAGAGGTGAAGAATAAATGCCAGAGGAGTTTAATCCTGTGTTTTGTACAATTCCTGCTTTCCAGCAGTTTGCTGCACTGTCCTGGCATTACTTGGATTTAGAGTTATATTTATTTCCAACCCCTTTGATTTGAGGGGTTTGGATTCAAAATTCTTGATGATCAGATCAGTGTATTTTGTGTTGTCTTTGCTGCTTAGGAAAAAGTAATTTTGCCAGAGAAGAAAAGGAAGAATTTAATCACTTAGAACATGGCAAAATGCCTCTCCTGGGATTTACTTGGAGGGTTTCGAAGTCCTGAACCAAATCAGAACGTTTGTCTTTTCCTGGCCTTCTCAGTGAATGAGGTTGCAGAAAAAAAGAGCATTTTTGGATATTCCAAGAATGTATTCTGAATATTCCAATGGATATTGCAGTGAATTAGCCTTGGCCGTGGACACACAGGAGGCAGGGGCAGCACTGCATCATTCAGGGCTTAAATATTGATTTCACATTGATTTCCTTGTAAAACTCACTGATCCAGCCTTTGTAGATTTATATTTTCCTCATGGATTCCTTGCAATTTATTGCCTTTTTGAGATACCACTGCAGTGTCATGCCTTGATCCAAAGGATTTCTCTTAAAGATATCCAGGATATCCAATACTGGGCAGTTTGGGATGGAATTGCCCCACAGTTCATTATTTTCCATAGCAAGTCACTCTGTATTCCAAAATCCCATCCTGAAAACCCTGGTAGCACTAAAGGTGAGCAAAAAGAACTGGATGGAAGTGGCAGAGTGTGAGACTAACCCCAGATTTCAGGGGTGTGTCTCGAGGTCAGTGATGGATGAAGTGTAAGTCCCTTAGAGGCAACAAAGCATTCAGGCAGCTCCCACCCCACAGAAATTCCAGGGAAAAGCACACCATCAGATTCAGCATTTGGTATAAATTCCAAGGTGTTTTCCAGTTTCCCGCCCTGGGTTATCCATGGGTGCAGGAAGAACGGGCAGGGGAAAATCAACTGTGGTGGCTTCCCTGGGGACATTGGAGCTGAATCCAGCTGGTTCCTCCTCCCTGTCTGTTCACGTCAGCTTGAGGGACGAGCCCAAAGGTGGCATTTAGTCTGTGCCAGAGCTGGGATTTGCTGGTTTTCTGCTGAGATTTGCTGGTTTTCTGCCGGGGTTTGCCCGTTCCGTGGCGGTCACGGGCTGGTTTTGGCCGTTCCAGGTGCGAGCAGCTCCTCCACCCCCCACCCAGCACCACCGCCGGCCCCCGGAGAAGATCGAGGACGTGGAGATCACCCTGGTGTGACCGGGGGGGCTGAGCAGGAGGGCTACAATCAAGACCAAACCCAGCATTTGGTCCCTCTCCCATTTTTAGGCACCTTTGCATGAAGAAGACTTTGGAATAGAGCGGGACACCGGGAGGGTTGGATTTCGGCGGATCCCTTCCCGCGGCCGTGAAGATTTTTGTGCCTTTTTTTGTTTGTTTTTTGGTTTCTTTCCATCGGTTTTGGCCTCTCTTAGCACAAAGCAAGCCCAGCAGAGGATTTGCCTTGGAGCAGGCTTTTCCTCCTGGCTGAAGATGCTCCGTTTTTTTCCCAAGGAGACTGAGGAATGAGCCTCCTTCCTGCAGCTTAGTCATAGCACCCTTTGCTCCCGTGCATTAGTACAGTATATTACTGTTGCCATAGGAATGTGCTGAACATTGTGGATCCTTCCAGTAGCATTGGATTGTCTGATCAGGTGTTAAATCAGATCCCGCGGAATGAAAAAAGGGAACGGGAAGATAAGTCAAAAGGAGAGGCTGGCTCCTCTTTCACCCCCCTGCAGAAAGGAAGAAACAGGAAAAGAAGCTCCTGGAGGAGCAAAAGACCACGGGGGGGTTCATTCCCCTCGTCAGGAATCATCAGCTGGACCCTTCTGCTCCTTGGATTCCTATTTACACAGGACTTTTTAGTCCCAGAGGATCTACTCTGGAGGTGCTGAATCAGTAGCAACATCTTGTTCCGTAGCATAAACCAGAAAAGTAAGTGAGGTTTTGTCTAGATCTGCAAATCGAGCTGCTTTATTTTTTGTTTTCTTAGCAGGTTTTTGGGGATTTGGGTTTGTTGTTGTTGTTGTTTTTTTTTTTTTTAAAGTGTTTGGGTCATTCCTACCCCAGTTATTGCTGTGTGCTTAATTATCCAACGTTAGCAGATATCTTTGTCATCCAACCACCTGGCTTGAGTTAGAGGTTCCATTTTAAGAGTATTTACATGCATTTAGTTGTTGCATTGGATGGTCCTGTAGTGTTTTCCCAGTGAATCCCATCAACCAGCCAAAGCCAGGGAGCCTGGAGCTCCCTGTGATGCCTTTACACCACCTTGGTGCCCAAGATCTGCTCTCCAGTTCCTCTCAGGAGAGAAGCAGAGAGGAGAAGAATTGCAAATTTCCCACTGGAGATCTCTGAAAAAGGGAGCTTTGCTTTTGCTGTGCTTTGAAAGAAAAGGGTTCTGAGGTCGGAGGTGGAGAGGGAAAAACTGGCTGAGAACAGGTTTTTTTTGGGTCCTGGCTGAATTATTGTCAGCAATCTCCATCAGAGGGAGGATCAGAGGCATCCCTAGGTTGGGTTTTGAGCTGTTTCTGTGGGTTCTCTTGTGTCTTCATGGGTTTTTGTTCAAAGCCAGTGAGTTTTCTACCTTTAGTTTACTAACAAGGGCTATTTTTTCAGGCTGCATTTACAAAAAAAAAAAAAAGAAAAGAAAAAAAACACAAAAAACAACTCATCTTAGGAGATTCTTTCATAAACTTTGCACATACCTGTAAATCCCAACCCAAGTTGGGTCTCTGAGACATCTGTGCTTTCCAGTCTCCTTTCCCAGTGGGATCCTTAACCAAGAGTGGGGCTGTTTGAAGACAACAACTCATGGATCAGTTCTGAAATCAGGGACTGTCCAATGAAGTCTTTTTTTCCATATTTTTTCCTTTCTTTTGCACCTCTTGTCCTGTTGATCTGTTTGAGGTCTTTTTATGTGTTTATCAAACTTATTCTTAAGTTTAAAAAAGAAAAGTTTTTAAAAAAGAAGATTTAACTGCAAATATTTTGAGATCTTCACAACGCAGAAGAAAACCAAGTGTTGCCATAAACCTTCATTTTTAATTCCTTTGGCCAGTTTTTTCTGTGTCCTTCATACCCGGACTTTGGGAAAAAAAAATTCAGAAAGTTTTATTTAAAAGTCTCTTTAGTTGTATTTTAAAATATTTTCTGTAAGAGCTGCTAATTTTATTTAAAATACAAAAGTGAAAAAAGCTACAAAAAAAATGTAAAAAAAAAAAAAAAGGAAGAAAAGCTGTAAAAAGATGCAAAAAGATGCCTCCTTTTTAACTATGATTTCTTCATACAGGGCATGTATCGGCCATCGCATCGTGTACAGTGTCAGTACACTGAAAGCATCAGTTGCTTTCTTTATATTGGCTGTAAAAAGTTTGTATTTATTATGTATAAAAAGTTGAATAATAAAAAAGTGGAACTAAATCCAAGGTGCTGTGGAGATTTTGGGGGGGGGAACTGAGGGACAACCTGAAGGATGGGGATAAAACTCGACGTTTTCTTGGGTGGGATTGAGGGAGAACCTGAGGGCTGGGGATAAAACTCGACTGTTTTCTGAAGTGGGCTTTTTGTGGTTTGGGTTTTTACACCGAGATTTGAGTTTTCTGCTCGGGAAAACACTTGTGCACCTGCTTAAAGCCAGCGTTAAACCTGGGTTTAAGGTGGTATCTGAGGAACAAAACGGTGCCAGAAACGAAGAGCCAGAACAAAGCTGCTGTTATCAAAATAATTGCTTAATAGCCTTGATGCAATTAGGGTAATTGGGTAAAGAAAGCAGGGAGAGTGATTGATAACAGCCCTTCAGTGTGATTGTCCCTTAATGGCCTCGATTTGCCTAATTGTGCCGGGAGTATTCCCAGTGCATCCCAAGCCTCTGCAGCTTTAGGATGGCTCTGTGGATTAGGATCCCTTCCCTGGGGGATTTTCCTTCCTTGGAAGCCAAGGAAGGCTTCCTTCCTGTGGTGAGCAGCTCCGTTCTGGGCTCATCCTGCTTTCCCAAATATTGCTTATCCATGAGCTCCATGTGCCAATTCCCTCCCTGGTTTTGGAGCCAAGACTCTTTTCCCTGACTGAGCCCAGCCAGACATTCCTGCAGGATGGGGTTGGATCTTTAATCTTCTACTCTTCACACAAGCTTTCATTTTTTTTTTCCCCTGAGCTCCTGCAGCCTCTTCCTTTGAGAATTCCCATCTTCTCCTGCTTTTTATGTGCATTCATGGTGCTCCTCCACAAATTCTTGTCCTGCCTTGCTGCACTGACCACTCTGTCCTTTCCTTTCAGCTTCTTGCTCGTGGCATCTCTCCTTTTCTTCCTGCATCTCTCAGCTTGGGCTTCTTTTCACCATCACTATCCTAAGGAATGATGTTACTCCTCAAATCCACCAGCAGAGCCACTTTTCCTTCCCTCCATTTTTAACAGGCCTCTGCTTTTTCTCCTTCCCCTTCCCCAAAAGCTGTGCTGTCCCAAAACAGAGAATTCTGTGATCACAACATTCCAGCCATTAACCTGTTTTCCCCGAAAACCTCTTTTCCCCTGAAGTGTTTTCCCAGCTCCAGCTCCCATTGCTGCCGTTTCCCTGGAAGTTGGACACGGTTTGGGCAGCACAGAGTGACCACTTAGAGGCAAAAAGAGGTGCTGAGGAAAACCAAACGCTCCAAAGGTTCTCTTTTCTGCTTGGGATAGTTAAAGAGGAGGAATCTGGGGAACTTAGGCTGAAATGTTTATCCCTGGAAGTTGACAGCACAACCTGTTAGAGCTGGAGGTTTCTCTCATGGCTCTGGTTCCCAGATTTTGGCTTTAAATGTAGATACAGATGGGATATTGGGAAGGAATTCCTGGCTGGGAGGGTGGGGAGGCCCTGGCACAGGTTGCCCAGAGAAGCTGTGGCTGCCCCTGAATCCCTGGAAGTGTCCAAGGCCAGGTTGGAGCAACCTGGGCTAGTAGAAGGTGTCCCTGCCCATGGCAGGGGGTGGCACTGGATGATTTTAAGGTCCCTTCCAAGCCAAAGCAGTCTGGGATTGTGTGATTTTCGGAAAGGATAATGGGACTGGGATTGGGCAGAAGGGATGGGGGTAAATATCATAATGTCCCTTTACTACAAACTGTGCTGGGGTTTTTTTGGGGTTCTCTTTCCCATATAGCACATGGTTCTCTCACTGGTAATAGTAATTAAAAAGGAAAAGCAAACCCCCAACCTCTTCTCTAAATAAAGCATCTTTTGCTCCTTGCAAGCCTGACTGTTCCACAGCCGACACTTTTTCCCTGCCCGCTTTTCCAGCAAGCTCCCTGAAATTAATAACCTGCAAATCTCAGCATGGCAGGGGCAGGAGCAGCAGGAAATCCACCTCAGTCAGTCTTTCCTTCCCCTGAGCCTCCCAGGAAGGAGGGGAGATGCTGCTGCTGTGGGAAGAGTTCTGTCTCCCTGTATTTTTCCCATTTGCAGCTCCGTTGAGCAAAAAGATTGCTGGGAGCGATGGGAGTGAATGTGCTGCTCCCTTCTGTCCTACACTTGGCCAGCTCTCTCCAAGCTCAGGGATATTGAGAGTTCAGGGCACAGGGAGAGGCTGGAGAAAGGGAAAAAGGAGAGAAGACGGGAGTCAGGGATGCAGCGAAGGAGACAATAAAAATGCAGGCAGGGAAATGCCGACGTGCTTGCTGTGCCAAGTGGTTTCCTACTCCAGGCAGTCCCCAGGGGGATTGAGGATTCCAGATCTGGCAGAAGGATCAGTGCAGCCTCTGCATTGCAGGTCATTCCATCCAAGGGATGAAAGCACTGCAGTGAGAGCGGGGCCGGAATGGAGCAGGCAGGAAAACGCCTGGGATTGTTTTCCAGAGGTGGACACGGGAGTAACACGTGTGTGACATGGGAGGAACATCCCCAGCGTGGAGGGGAGGGGGAAATGGGGCTGCTCAAGTGCAAGTGCATCTTCTCAGCTCCTGGCACAGGGGAGTGCTGGGAAGAGCCCAGCTCTGCCTCTTGGATAATCCCCCAAGGATTGATGAGACGCCCGCTGAGCCTTCTCCGGGCTGAAAACTTAGGGAATGGTGGAAGAGAATCCCCAGGACAGGGGGAATCCTCAGGTTGCCCCAGGTGAGGTGTAGGTTGGATATTGGGGAAAAATTCTTCGTGGAAGGGGTGGTCAGACATTAGAAGAAGCTGCCCAGTCCCCATCCCTGGAGGGGTTTGACAACCCTGTGGATGTGGCGCTTGGGGACAGGGGTTAGTGGTGGCCTTGGCAGTGCTGGGGAATGCTTGGACTCACTCTTGGAGGGCTTTTCCAGCCCAAATGATTCTATGGCACACAGAACCTCTGTGTGGAACTGCACCTTAGACCGGGGTTGTCACGGAGACTCCAAAATGGGATTCCAGGATTGAGGCTTCAGTCCGAACCTCCTTAAGGGTCCCTGGAAAAGCAACACTGAGCCATGGCCTTGTTACTGTTCCCAGAAACACTTTGGAATAAAACACATGCTAAATAGAAGAAATAACATGCCAATAGCAACAAACAACAAATGGCAGCTCTGTACGTTGGGAATGGCTCGTGGGGGCTTTCGAATCCCAAATCCAGCCCACAGCACCAGGGAACGAGGCACGTGGGGTCTGCCGAGTCCATTGGCAGCCCAATCCCATTCCTCCTGCTCTTCCCGTTCCAGGTTTTCCCGCTGCAGTGAGTTTTTCCAGCCCATTGGCCTGTCTGGAGTATGTCAAGCTGTGGTGCTTCCACTGCTTTGTTTAAAGCCCCTTTGCTGTCTCCTGGATTTCACAGCTGGTATCCAAAGGGGCCACGGAGCAGGAATGGGGCCCAGTGCTCCATCCAGCTCTGGGGATCAGGCTTTGCCTCCCACAGAACCTGCCCCTTCCCAGGCATTAAATGGGCTTTACAGAAGGCACTTGCATCATTCCACCCAAAATCCTGCCACCGTGCAAATATCCCTGGAGTGTTCTCCTGGGTCAGGCTGGGATGGCTGTGAGGAACAGGAGACAGTGATAAGCCTGGCTTTGCAGTGAGGAGCCAGGGATAAGCTTGGCTTTGTAGAGCTTTATTATGGAAGGAGAAGCTGTTCAGCCTTGGGTCTGCAAGCTGAGCTCCACACATGGTTCCACCAGCTACTCCCAGTTCGTCCAAGCAGCTTAATCCATCCACCACACTGGGAATGTGGATTCCTACAGGTAGAGAAGCTTCCAGGTCCTCTCATGAGGGTTTTCTGGGAAGGATTGTGGTGCTGGGGCTGTTCAGGCCAGGATTCCCAAAACACAGCTGAGAATGGCTCAGGGAATATACAATTGCAATCCAAACTGGGGGATTTTGCTGCTGGAGAAGATTTTTTATGGCATTCTGGATTTGCAGTGTGGCCAGAGGCAAAATGAAGATGCTGGGAAGGAAGAGGTCGGGCTGAAGGAGGAGCATTTCCCAGCAACTCAAAACTGGCTGTGGCTGTGGCCTTAGTGAGGTGAACGTGAACTGGGCCACCTGGAGAGGAGATGGTTCCATTGAAACATTGGATCCAGGAGCTGGGAGCTCATTCCGGGTCCCCAGTGCACAAATCCTCCTGTGTCCTGTTGGCAGAGCACTGGCAGCAGAAGGGTGATCTTTTAGGCCAATCTGTGCTGTGCTGAAGTGGTTTCTGGATTTCTGTTTTGCAATTGCCTTCGTTCCACTCCCATATTTCCCCCCTTTTTTTTTGGTGGAGTGGTTTAGGGTTAGATTTTTCTCCTTGAATGCAGATTCATTGCTGCAGAGCCGTGCTCCAGCTCTGCTGTAATTAGTTTTGTCTACTGTTAATTGCCTCTCCTTTTCCCATTGTTTATTGAAAGACGAATGAATTTCCAGGTCTGGCTGCTTTGGGAATGCTGACAGCAGCTTTTTGAAATCCCACAGCACAGCTATTTGTCTTTTTTACTCAGCCGAGTCCTGCAGAGTGGGACGAATTCGGCTTCACCTCCGTGTCCCGGGCAAATTACTGCACTAATTAATTTCCCTGAGACTGAGGCCTCCTTCTTCCTTAGCAGAGGGAAGGGATGGAGGAGTCAAGTGTGGATGGAAAACAGCAACAACCTCAGATTAACTCCTGGAATAAACTTGCTTGAAGAGATGTGAGATGCTGGTCGTTTAAAATAAGGATTCAAATAAAGGGATGGTCCATTATTAATCCCACGTCCTCCCTCATGAGAGTATCTTGGTTTCTGGGAAGTGAGCTCTGATCCACCACACAGTGTGGGCTTCTGTTCATGCTCCCTGGGTTTTAAAACAGAAGAACTGGCATTTTTCTTGGGAATTAGATGGCAGAAATTATTGCTGCTCCTTAAAAAGGAGGAAAGGCTGCAAAAGTGACAAAGAGGGGCTGTCACTGAAGGCCACGTGTGATGGTGGGAGATGACAAACCATAGGGCAGGACCCTGCAAAGGGAAGCTCCTTTTGGCAGAG